CTGCCTGTTTTGCCCGAGACTCCCTCGCGCTTCTGAGGTCGGAGATGCCCCGAGAGGCCACGCAACACGTTGTCCGGCCAGTTTAGCCTGAGCCACCCTCGCAACTGTGGATTCGGAGACGCCCTGACCGGAGGTAGTCTCTCCAATATCGCCTGAAACATCCTCGCAGCACGTCGGGGCGGACATTTCCTGACCCTGTCAGGTTGGATAATGATAGTATTCCCTACCTAGGCTCTGCCTAGAAGGGTTCTTACCCTGTTCTCTTAAAGGGCCGGGCAGTGTAAATCGCCCCGGGCGGTTCCCCCGGCATCCGCCCCGTGGTTCCCCCAGTGACGTCCGCTTAGCTTAGCGTTGCTTATCTCATCGTAGCTTAGCTTGTTTCATCTTAGCTTAGCTTAGTTCCATCTTAGTTCAGGTTTATCTTAGCTTAGCTTACCTTCATCTTAGTTTCCCCGAGCTTTAGCATAGCACAGCGCAGCATAGCATAGCAGAGCGTAGCACAGCATAGCGCAGCACAGCATATCTAGCATAGCATAGCATAGCATAGCATAGCGCAGCATAGCATAGCATAGCATAGCATAGCATAGCGCAGCACAGCACAGCACAGCATAGCACAGCGCAGCATAGCATAGCATAGCATAGCAGAGCATAACATAGCACAGCAGCAAAGCAAAGGCAAAGCAACAGCAGCGACAGCAAAACAAAGCACAAGCAACGCGAAACAAAGCAAAGCAAAAGCAAAAGCAAAGCAAAGGAAAGGCAAAGCAAAGCTCGTGTGTGCCAACCGCGTTGCCAGTTTAGTTTTCTGTTCGGGTAATTAGCATGGGTGTAATTCCCTACCTAGGCTCTGCCTAGAGGGTCAGCTTAGCTTAGCTTAGCATAGCTTAGCATAGCGCAGCGCTGCATTAGCATAGCATAGGATAGCATAACATAGCCAAGCATAGCAGAGCATAGCATAGCATAGCGCAACATAGCATAGCATAGCATAGCATAGCATAGCATACGATAACATAGCATAGCATAGCATAGCATAGCATAGCATAGCGCAGCTTAGCATAGCATATCATAGCATAGCTTAGCATAGCACAGCGCAGCATGACATAGCATAGCATAGCATAGCATAGCATAGCATATCATAGCATAGCACAGCATAGCATAGCATAGCAGAGCATAGCGCAGCATAGCATGACATAGCATAACAACTAATGCTGCTTTCCTAGGGGCTCCAACTTCTAGGTAGGGTCGCATTGGGGTATTTTTTTATATTGATGATGATGGTGGTGATGATGATGGTGGTGGTGGTGATGATGGTGATGATAATGATGGTGATGATGTTGATGTTGATGATGACGATGAGCATGAGGATGATGATGATGATGATGATGATTATGATGATGATGATGATGATGACGATGGTGATGACGATGATGATGATGCTGATGCTGATGCTAATGATGATGAGAATGATGGTCAGGGTGGTGTTGATTGTGATGATGATGTTGATGATGACGATGAGCATGAGGATGATGATGATGATGCTGATGCTGATGCTGATGATGAGGAGGATGGTGATGGAGATGGTGATGGTGACGGTGATCATGATGATGATGAGGATGATGGTGATGGAGATGGTTACGATGACGGTGATCATGATGATGAGCATGAGGATGAGGATGAGGATGAGGGATGATCATATTGTTGATGATGGTGACGTTGATGATGGTGATGGTGATGGTGTCGCTGACGATAACGATCATGATGATGATGGTGATGATGATGCTGATGATGACGATGACGATGGCGATGACGATCACGATGATGATACTGATGATGCTGATGCTGATGCTGATGCTGATGACGATGGCGATGACGATGACGATGATGATGATGATGATGACGATGATGACGATGATGGTGATGATGATGATCATGATGATGATGATGATGATGATGATGCTGATGATGATTATGATGATGCTGATTCTGATGATGATGCTGATAATTCTGATAGATGGTGATTCAGGCTTCGAGATGCCACGCAACAGGTTGTCAGGCCAGTTTGGCCTGAGACATCCTGGCAACTTGCAACGCTTAGCTCCCACATGCCCTGACCTGAAGTGGTCCTGCCTGTTTCGCCCGAGACTCCCTCGCGCTTCTGAGGTCGGAGATGCCCCGAGAGGTCGCGCAACTGGTTGTCTGGCCAGTTTAGCCTGAGCCATCTTCGCAACTGTGGACACTGAGGTGCCCTAACCGGAGGTGGTCTGGCCAATATCGTCTGAAACATCCTCGCAGCTGAGGGCTCCGACGCGACGCGCGTCGGGGTGGACATTTTCTGGTTGGGTAATGATAGTGGTGATGCTGCTGCTGCTGATGATGATGACAACGACCACGACGATGACGATGCTGCTGCTGCTGCTGATGATGATGATGATGATGATGCAGATGGTGGTGGTGGTGGTGGTGATGATGACCTGGATGACGACGATGATGAGGATGGTGATGATCGTGGTGGTGGTGGTGATGATGACGACGATGACGATGATGACGACGATGACGATGGTGGTGGTGATGATGATGGTGATGATGATGAGGGTGAAGCTGACGATGGATATGATGATGCTGCTTCTGCAGCGGATGATGATGATGACGATGATGGTGATGAGAGGATGGTGATGATGATGATGAGGATGGTGATGACGATGATGATGATGATGATGATGATGATGCTGATGATGATGATGATGATGATGATGCTGGAAATGGTGATGCCTGAGGATGATGATGCTCATGGTGGTGATGATGAAGTTGATGATGATTATGATGATTGTATTGGTGCTGCTGCTGATGATGACATTGTTGATGATGACGTTGTTGATGATGGTGATAATGATTATGATGATGATGATGGTAATGGTAATGATGGTGAGGATGATGGTGATGATGATGATGATGGCGACGATGACGATGCTGCTGATGAGGATGCAGATGGTGGTGGTGTTGGTGATGATTATTTTGATGACGACGATGCTAATGATTCTGATTATGATCGTGATGGCGGTCATGATGATGATGACGATGACGATGATGGTGATGATGTTGATGATGGTGTGGATGATGCGGGTGGAGATGAAGATGGATATGGTGATGCGGCTTCTGCGGCGGATGACGACGAGGATGTTGACGATGATGATGATGATGATGATGATGATGATGATGATGATGATGATGATGATGAGGATGGTGATGATGGTGATGATAATGGCGATGATGATGTATATGATGATGATGAGGAAGAGGAGCAGGAGGTTCATGTCGATGCTGCTGCCGCTGCTGATGATGGTGATGATGATGAGTTTGATGATAATGCTGATGATTATTTTGATGCTGCTGCTGCTGCTGATGATGATGTTGCTGTTGCTCTAGTGATGATGATGAGGATGAGGATGATGAGGATGAGGATGAGGATGATGAGGATGGTGATGGTGATGGTGATGGTGATGGTGATGGTGATGGTGATGGTGATGGTGATGGTGATGGTGATGGTGATGGTGATGGTGATGGTGATGGTGATGGTGATGGTGATGGTGATGGTGATGGTGATGATGATGATGATGATGATGATGATGATGATGATGATGATGATGATGATGATGATGATGATGATGGAGACGAAGAACATGATGGTGGTGGTGGTGGTGTTTTTTTCATGTGGGATTTCTCGCAGCACCAGAGGCCCTCTAATCGAGGGAGGGTGTGCCCGAGCCCAAATTTACAATTTTCCAGCTGTAGCTGCTTTAGGGGGAGCCTTCTTTCTCGGTTGGGCCCCCAGGCAGAAATTCGGGGCGTCCCAGATGAAAAATCACCCCGGAACCGTTCCAGCATGTTATCCCATTTGGGCTCCCCCAGTGGACCAGGCGTTCTCGGGGATAATTGGACGGGTGTTGCACCCGTTCCCTCAAATCAGTCATCTTCCACATCGAATCTCACAGCGTGTGCCCTTCCAGCAGTGTGTACATGGGCTCCACCCGAAGAGACGTTTCGGTGGACCTGGACGAGCGTATCTCTCTAATGTGTGACTTGCTGTTATGTGAGGTTTGTCGATCCCTGGAGGTGTCCCGCTCCAGGTCAGCACTGGTGATCTGAGGCAATGCTGCCAATGGCGAGCGAGAGAGAGAGAGAGAGAACACTGAGGCAGGGAGGAGGAGAAGGAGGAAGAGGAGGACGAGGAGGAGAAGGATGAGGAAGAAAGAGGAACACAATAACACATAACAATCGTAATAATAATAAGAAGACGGGTAATAAAACATAGCGTACTAGTATTAGTATCAATCATACGAATATTAATGCGAGTAGTAAGACAATTGTTATCATTAGTAATACACCGAATAAGAAAGCATAGTAGTACAATTCCGAGCAATACTAATACCATTACGAATGCTACGACAAAGAAACCTATACAGACACATACATTTAATATTACGAATTATACTGCTACTTCTGATCTTACTACGGGTAATCTTAATATTATGAATAAGAGCAATAACAATATTAATGGCATAATTAATGATAATATTACGATTAATTTAATTCATAATAAGATTTATTATATCAGTAAACAGAGTACCACCACTAGTAATACTAATCGTACTAAGACGAGGAGGGTGAGGAAGAGAAGGAGGAGGAGGAAGAGGAGGAAAAGGAGGAGGAGGAGAAGGAGGAGGAGGAGGAGGAGGGCATAGGGAAGAGTGAGAGAGGTAGGGAGGGGGGAGGCAGGGAGGCGGAGGGAGGTCGAGGGGGAATGAGAGAGAGAGAGGAGAGAGAGAAGAGAGAGAGAGAAAGAGAGAGAGAGCAGAGAGAGAGAGAGAGAGAGAGAGAGAAAGAGAGAGAGAGAGAGAGAGAGAGAGAGAGCGATTATGGGGGCAAAGGGGTGGTGGAGGAGCACGAGGGAAGGGCGGGGGAAGGAGGAGGGAGGCGGGAAGGAGAAAAGAGGCTCCTCGCCGAGCTCAGGCGCTTCCGCGGCCCGCGCTCCGCACCTCCCCCGCCCCGCCTCCCCGCCGCACTCCCCGCCGCCGCGGTGGCGGCGGGGGGGGGGGCGCCGCGCCGCCCGGAGCCGCGGCGGGCCGATGGTGTCCGTCCTGGTCTGCGGCGGCGGCAACGCCGCGCAGGCCTCGGGGGAGAAGCAGCTCCTCCTCCTCCTCCTCCTCCTCCTCCTCCTCCTCCTCCTCCTCCTCCTCCTCCTCCGACTCCTTGGAGCTCCGCACGGGCCTCCCCGGACCCCCTCGAGTCATGAAAAAATCACGGCGGGAGGTTTTTCATGATTTTCGGCCTCTGGGGGCCCTTACCGGCCCTCGGGACCGTCAAAGAACGGCTCAGGATGGAAAACCGGTCCTGGGGAATGGGTCCAGACCGCTCGGGGTCGACGTCATGAAAAAATCATGACGTCGGGGGTCTGGGTCCACAGGTTTTAGTGCCTCTTCTGCCGCCCTCCGCGCTCCCCCGAGGTCGTCTCCTGCCTGTTCGGCTCCAGGTACAAGGTGACGGCCCTGTCCCTCCACGGGGACGAGGCCGAGAGGTGCCGGGGGCGCCGAGGCACACAGGCAGGGCTCGAACTGACCGGTGTGTGGGCGAGTCCGCGGGCCGCCTTCGCTCTGATCTCGCTTCGCAGCAAGGGCAGAGCGAAGACAGGACGGAGGGAAGCGAGGACAAACCGAGAACGGGAAGCACTGTCTAGCTGGAGCCCTGCACAGAGGAGCGCGGGCGGAGGCAGCGGCAGCGTCGGCCTTCGGGGTGGGGGCTCCCTCGGCGCCGCGGCGGGGGCGCGGCTCGCGGAGAGCTGGTGCGCTCGGAGCCCAGGAGGGGCCCCCGGGGACCGACGCTTGAGCTGCCGTCGTCTCCACACTCCCATGCGCCGAGAATCGAAGACGCGACCAAGGGCATAAACATGCACTTTTGGCGGTCCGCGCGGTGTTCTTGGATCTGCGCTGGAGCGCCCTGGCGGCGCCTCCGGCGCCGCCCCTGGAGCGCGCTCTGCGCGCCAGGGAGCGGGATCCAGCTCAGATCCAAGGCATCCGCGCGGACTGCCACAAGTTTATGCTTATGCCGTCTCTTTGTTCCTCTAGAGAGGCGGCAGCGGCGTCATGCGCGCTGGTGCTTTTGCCCCCCCCCGCCCCCAGGAAGCCGCGCACCAGAGGTCACCCTCACCCAGCCAGGGTTAACTCGGGCCTGTCCCTCTACAGGGGGAACATTCAAAAATAATCAAAATATAGTCGGGGGACTTTCTTGAGTATTTTTGGGCATCTGTTGATGTTTTTTTCCGTATTTTTTATTTGTCGTCCAAAATCCCCCTGTAGGGGGACAGGCCCGACCTAAACCCAGGGTCGCTCTTGCGTGTCGCTGGCGGTCCCGTGCCAACGCGGGCTCGTCTCCGCCCGACGGGCCAGACGCCCCCCGCAGGCAGTCTCAGTCCGCAGGTCTGGCCCCTCCTCCTCCTCCTCCTCCTCCTCCTCCTCCTCCTCCTCCTCCTCCTCCTCACTCCTCCTCCTCTCCTCCTCCTCCTCCTCCGCCTCCTCCTCCTCCTCCTACTCCTCCTCCTCCTCTCCTCCTCACTTCTCCTCACTCCTCCTCCTCCTCACTCCTCCTCCTCCTCCTCCTCCTCCTCCTCCTCCTCCTCCTCCAACTCCTCCTCCTCCTCCGTTTCCATGCGGCTTCGCAGGAGTTGGCGTCGTCTGCTCGATGACACTCGCGGCCTCGAGCTTCGTCCTCTCTGGCCGTGTCCTCGCAACTCGCTTCTTCTGTGGCCTTCGGGGGGGCCCCTCTCGTCCCCGCGGCCGGGGCTGGCTCCAAAACCTTGCCAGGGTGGACCCCGCGAGGGGTCCAGAGACAGTCTTTGAGCAGGTTTTGGTCCGAGGGTGAGCCCCGGGGGGCCGGATCGACGGCCAGTCGGGGTCCGGGTGCCCCCCGTGCCCGGGTGCCCCCCGTGCCCAGGAGCTTGCCGTTTTTCACCATCGGGGGCCTGCCGCCAGTGTGTAGGCTTGGCTCAAGTCGGGCCTCAGGGGGAAGATTCAAAAATAGCAAAAACATAGTATGGGGAATTTGTTCCGTATTTTTTTGACCATTTCGGACTATCTTTACAGTTTTTTTTCGTCGCAGATCCCCCTGTAGGGGGACACGCCCGACTAAATGTAGGCGGTGCGTCTTCGATTCCAGATGGACGAATACCCCCTGAGCCAGTCCCTCCCCCTCTTTCTGCTCCCCTCGAGATGGGAGAAGGCCGTGAAGGACACGGGCATGGAGTGCAGCTTCCAGGGCTCGGACAAGAAGGTTCGGTCCTGGCCAGACCACATCACGAAGGACCCGTCGGCCGCGAGGAACTGCGACGTTGTTTTGTTCACAGTGCCGTCCAGCTTCCACAAGGATTATTTCACGGCGCTGAAGCCTCACGTGAAGGATCGCGGGCCCGCTCTTCACTGCCGCCACCGCGCGGGGGCTGCTGCAGGTGCTCCTGGCCCAGGGCGTCTCCGATCTGTCGCTCCTAGATCCCCTTGGACCCTGTGGGCCTCGAGGGGGGTTTGCTCAAGCGGCCGTGGGAGTGTCCCTGGAAGTCTCGGGGGCACCTTGCCTTGGGCCAGGGGCACCTCGGGCAACGCATGGCAACACCCGAGCCACTGGACGCGGGCGCTGCTGGCCTGTGGCAACCGCTCTGCTGGGCGCGGCTGGCGCCTCTGCAGCCCAGGGCTCGACCTAAAAGGTGTTTTAGCGGTATCGTGGACCGGTTTCGTTCTGATTTCGTTTTGCAGCAAAGGCGGACCGAAGACAACACGAGGAAAACGAAAACAACAGTTTTGTTTGCGCTTTTTCGTTACACGAACAACGCAAAACACTGCTCAGGTCGAGTCCTGCTTCAGCCCTGCCTCGGGTCCGCCGCCCCTGGCTCTCGCTCGGGTCGGGGCGTGTGGGGCTTGGGACGGGGGGGGGGACGACCGCTGCTTCGTGCAGCTGACTCCGGCCTGGCCGCTGGGGGCGCCCCTGGCTCGGGTCGGGGCGAGTGGGGCTTGGGACAGGGGGGGGGGGGGGGGGGGGG